CCGGCGGACTTGCTGGTCGATGAACAATGCCCGTCTCGACATTGTATACCTAGTAGTTGGTGATTCGTAGTACGGTTTTGACAAAACCCCATGTGTTCACGCAGTTTGTGTAGTATATTTTCGTTCAAGTATCCTACATAGCCGTGCCAGTTGATTCCCAAACTAAGCCAGAAGGAGGGGTTCAAATGCGGAGAGGGAGGGATACACCTCGTTTTTGAAACTTTCCAAGCAGTGTTAGTTGTCACGATGAGCCACAACTGAAACACTACTTGCTGGCTTTGTTTACTGAATAAAATTGGATATCTCAGTGGTCAAGATCAGAGCCGAACGAGCTCCTTGGAGGTGATGCCAATCTATTTCATCAATCACGTCATAGCATCATGGGATGAGGTTGATCACTCACCAAATTGATGACTCTCAACGAAGACAGCTGAGTGAACAATATTGTTTATATTGAACTTATTGATCGGTTTCAACTGGCAACGGTCGCAATCAAGAACACAGTCTATAGTTCGAGTGTGGACCGTATGGCTGTCACCGGAATTAGTTGATGTTTGTATTAGCCGCGACGAAAAACATCCATTTTTTTCTTCGTTTATCGTCTTGTCTAACCCCGGTGTTAATGGTATATGCAAGATGCACAGTTTCTTCAATAACATCTAATCCAAATTTGGTTTGGATACTATCAAACCGACGTGAAAAAAATCAATTTGGGAAAAAGTCACATCATGGATAACTTGGGAGTTCACCTGAGAAAAGAGTGATATATACTTGATAAATAAATAAAATGTTCGACACAACGCGTTTGATTTTTCATTGTTTAGCGATTACTGGATTTCAAATTTCGCTGATGAGCAAAATTATTGCGAATCGTGTTTGTCTCTGCGTTCGGAGGGGCTATCTTCTTGTTCGACTGAATTGATATCCGACAGTGCGGATGGCAAATTTTCTCAATTATGGTTAGTTCATCTGCAGATTATATGAACCCAGACATTTCACTAGTAGTCCTTCATTGTAATCAAGTGCTTACATAGGCACGAAGGTGCAAGGTGATTTGCTGCTCACTGATCGTACCACGTCTCTTGCTTACGTGTCTTTGTTTGCTTTCCAACATGCGTGTCACAAACGACCGCGACAAGAAAGCTCGTTTATGACCTTGACCTATTGATAGCAGCAGATCTGGCTCGCTTTGATACTCCCACTCGTTCCGAATACCGTGCTTACGTCCGTGTGCCAGGTATCGGTATCTGTCTGCAATTCTATGCTGCTTGAA